AGGGCGGGGGTCGGGTGGGGTGCACCCCCCGCCCCCCGGGCTCTCCGGGCTGATGGAAGCGCTGGCTCTGGGGTATCTGGGAGCGGGGGCAGCCGCTGCCCTTTCCCGCAGGACACTGCACAGCTCCAGGGGGGCTGGCAGGACCCCCCTGCCTGCGGGGTGCTGTCACCCCTCTGAGTGACACCCCTCTGAGGTGACACCCCTCTGAGAGGACTGACAGGTTCTTTTAGGGATCCTTGGCAGACGGCACTAAGTTGTAGTTACAATTAAAACTTTATTTCCTTAACAGGGTTTTATGATTAGCATAGCGTAGGGTTTGGAATTGGAATAGCACAGGATTTCTGTAAGCAGAATCAGTTCAATACAATTTTATAAGTAGCATGCTACAGAATTTTATAGCACTGCTGAGCCTGTGTTTTCTAATTGCCTGGACTCTGCAGCTCAGGTCAGATAGAATCATAGAATTTTGGGTTGGAAAAGACATTTAAGATCATCAAGTACGATCTTAATACATGGTTTGCTGTATTGGTATAACAATCATAATCTAGACTCAAAAATTGTATAAAAGAATACCAGTCACTCAGTCCTTGGAGGAAGCAGACGATGGTGGGGGTGTCCCTGGCCACTGGGGGGTCCCAGGTCTCACTGTCCAGCAGCAGATCCAGTCCAAGTTCCCAGTTAGGACTTGTAACTCCTTGATTGTATGGACAGTGCTCTGTGTGATGTTACACTTCGCTTTTCTGTGATGGGATCATCACCACCACCGGGTTGGCTGCGTGCCTGAGACCTTCAAAGCCAGCAAGGAACTGAGTAATTGGCCAGGCACCTGGGAATCTTGAGGCCAGTAGGGAGGGAAAGAATAAACCTGTTTGATTTGTGAACCAATGTACTTGGTTTGCAGGACTTTAAGGGCCTGGTAATGAGGGAAAGGGAACTGATAGGTGACCTGCTGGGTCAGAGAGAATGGCTGCTTCTCTCATAAAATGACGTTAGTTATGCCAACCACATTGCCAGGGGCTGGGAGCGGGAGGTACCAGTCACTGGTGCTGAGGGGTTTAAATGCTTTTTTGCCTGTCTGTGTTGTCCTGCGCTGCCCTGCCCACCCTTGTGCAGCCTGAGGGCAGCCTGAGTTTCTGCTTTGTGCTGGGACAGACTCCCCTCTGGGTGTTGGGTGGTAGAAGAGGAGCCAAGTCATCTTATCCCAACTGTCCTTTACCTGGGCAGAGCATGCTTGCTGATGAGTAGGGGTGAGAGGGGGTTTCTGTTGGTGGTAGAGAGACTTGGCAGGGGAGCTGCAGATGCCAGGGGGACAGAAGCCTCTCCATCCTTTGTCAGAGGAAAGAATGCTCCAGACTGTTCTCCTTGACTGTAGCTGTCACATCTATAACCTGCATCAGAAGAATGGCTTCACCTGCATGCTCATTGGAGAGATCTTTGAGCTCATGTAAGTGCAGGTTCCCCCTCTGTTGGGTCTGTGGCAGCTGGGAAACAGCCACAGGAACTTGCCGAGCTCCTGCAGCTGGGTGGGTCGGAGGGTTACCTTTACAGTTGTCCTGTCTCCCCTTCGTTAGGGTTTTCTGTGCCCCAAACCTGCGTTGCACTTCGAGGAACTGGTGCCCTTGAGCTTTCCTGCCACCATGACTGTGGGAACGCATCTCCATGATGTGTGACCCTGCTTTGCGTTTTGGGGGTCAGAAAGGCAATTCCCTCATGCCTGCTCCCTTTTTTCACAGGCAGTTCATCTTTGTGGTGGCGTTCACCACCTTTCTTATCAGTTGTGTTGATTATGACATCCTTTTTGCCAACAAAGCAGTAAATCACAGCCAGCATCCCAGTGAGCCCATTAAGGTGACTCTGCCAGATGCCTTCCTGCCTCCAAATGTCTGCAGTGCAAGGTAGGGGCAGCGCAGGGCATGTTAGCCACTGCTCATGCTTTCTCAGGTACTCAGGGTGCCTGCCCAGGCCTGTCTTCCACTACTTGCCTCTTCTTGCTTGCAGAATCCAGGCAAACAGCTTCCTCATCTGCATCCTGGTGATAGCTGGGGTTTTCTGGATCCACCGACTTGTCAAGTTTATCTACAACATTTGCTGCTACTGGGAGATTCACTCTTTCTACATCAATGCCCTCAAAATCCCCATGGTAAGTAGCCGCCCGCGGAGCCACTAAGGGGTGTGGGAGGCATTTGCTGGGTGGTGAGAAGCAACTCACCTTCACTCCTCACTGGAGCCAGCTTCTCTCAGAGGCTTGTACCAAGTGCTCTTCCCTCTGCTCCATAACCACACAGGTCTCCTTTTAGCCTCTTCTCCAGCAGCCAACTTATTTTGTGTTAACCCCTCTCTGCCCAGCTTGCCTCTCTGCCTGCTGGCACACGCCTCTGCCATCTGCCACCCAATATGTTTATTCTTCTGTGATGGCTTTTTCTGTGATGCCTTTCAACAGAGGAGGCATAAGTGAGGATATCCTCATGCATCCCTGGGTTGTGGACAACATAATCTTTCCTGTTTACTGGGGGTAAACTGAGGCATGGAGATACCTAGTTGGTGAAGACCACACTGGAGGTCGGTGTGTCAGAGATAGGGTTTGAGGCTTGCACAAGTCCAGAGTCTGGTCTGATGGACAACATCAAAAGGTGTGTGCACATCCCTTGAGGAGAGACCATGTCTTGAGAAAGTTTGGGTGAGCCAAGAGGCTTGGTTCCCAGATATTCCACACGCTCCCTCTGGGGTGCTGCTTAAGTCCCTTCCCCTGTTGACTCTAAATGGCAGCTTTGGGAAGGACCCATGGGAGCCTGGAACTGTGTTTATGCCTCCAAGGCAGCTGCTGCGTGAGTGGCTGGGAAACAGTCATCTGTGCTGATCTGGGGGTAAAGGGCACTGGGGCAAGGTGTGGGGTTTGCCTGCTGCAGGCTGAAGCAGTGCAGGGAGGTGCCTCTTATCCTGGCGTTGCATGTGCCTCGTCAGCACCCTGAGGTGTGCGCTGGGACCTGCTGTTAGAGTGGGCTCAGCCCAGCCTCTGTCCCTGGACACATCCTGCCCCTAACCTTGCTGCTTGCCCCCTTCCAGTCCACCCTGCCGTACTACACCTGGCAGGAGGTGCAGGCCCGCATCGTGCAGATCCAGAAGGAGCACCAGATCTGCATCCACAAGAAGGAGCTGACAGAGCTGGATATCTACCACCGCATCCTCCGCTTCAAGAACTACATGGTGGCCATGGTAAACAAGTCGCTGCTGCCCATCCGCTTCCGCCTGCCCCTGCTGGGAGACACCGTCTTCTACACGCGTGGGCTCAAGTACAACTTTGAGCTCATCTTCTTCTGGGGACCCGGCTCCTTGTTTGAGAACGAGTGGAGCCTGAAGGCCGAGTACAAGCGGGCCGGGAACCGCCTGGAGCTGGCTGAGAAGCTGAGCACTCGCATCCTCTGGATTGGCATAGCTAACTTCCTCCTCTGCCCGCTCATCCTCATCTGGCAGATCCTCTACGCCTTCTTCAGCTACACGGAGATCCTGAAGCGGGAGCCGGGCAGCCTGGGTGCCCGCTGCTGGTCTCTCTATGGCCGCTGTTACCTCCGTCACTTCAACGAGCTGGACCACGAACTGCACTCACGCCTCAGCAAGGGGTACAAGCCAGCTTCCAAGTACATGAACTGCTTTATCTCCCCGCTCCTCACCATCGTGGCCAAAAACGTGGCCTTCTTTGCTGGCTCCATCCTGGCTGTGCTCATCGCTCTCACCATCTATGATGAGGACGTGCTGGCAGTTGAGCACGTCCTGACCACGGTCACCCTGCTTGGGGTGGGCATCACAGTGTGCAGGTGAGGTGGGTCTGTGCTGCCCCTGCGCTCCTGGCAGCGCTGTGGGGAGCAGTGGGGCTGACAACCATCCATGCAAACATGCTCTTTGGCTGCAAGCAGACTTGAACCTGCCTAAGTGACGGGCATGGCTGGGGAGAGTCAGGGGCAGGCAGGAGAAGCGGGTAGTGGTGATTTTGGGCGCAGTGGTTGTATGATGGAGCTAAACAGCAACACCCTGGGGCTGGGCTGGCAGGGAGGTTTGGGGTGGGTGTGAAGGCAAAGCTGTGATATGGATTGGTCACCCTGCCCTCTCAGGATGAGATCTCCCAGAACTGACGTGTGATGTTGTCTCCCAGAACTGACGTGTGATGTTGTGATGTTTCCCTGTCCTGTCCTACAGGTCTTTCATCCCTGACCAGCACCTGGTGTTTTGCCCAGAGCAGCTGCTGCGAGTCATCCTGGCACACATCCACTACATGCCTGACCACTGGCAGGGTAATGCCCACCGCTACGAGACCAGGGACGAGTTTGCTCAGCTCTTCCAGTACAAAGCGGTGAGCTTGGCTTGCATGGGGCTGGGATGGGGACTTGCCCCCAACCCTGCAGGAGGGAGAAGCTGCCAGAGAGCTGAGCAGCTCCTGTGCTGGCAGAGGAACAAGGCAGCTTTCTCAGAGATGCCTTGCCCCAGAAGATGGGAGGGCTGGAGCTGGGGGGATGGCTTTGGGATTGCAGGTTTTTTGACATCCTCAAGCTTGTGCTGAGCCCATCATCTCTGTGTTTAGGTTTTCATCCTGGAGGAGCTCCTGAGTCCCATCATTACCCCTCTGATCCTCATCGTCTGCCTACGACCCAAGTCCTTGGACATCGTTGACTTCTTCCGCAACTTCACCGTGGAGGTGGTGGGTGTGGGCGACACCTGCTCCTTTGCCCAGATGGACGTGCGCCAGCATGGCCACCCAGCGGTAGGTCTTGTGGGTGGTAGCAGAGTGGCCTGGGCTCCCCACCAGCGTGTCTGGTCCTTTAGACCCAGGAGAGGCCATAACACCACTCCTGGCAGCCCACAGCCCAGCCACCTGCCTCTCTGCTGGGTGTCTGTGGCTGGCCACACGGGGCAATGGCTGCCAACACGGGTCATCTGCCCCAGCAGGTTCTTGTGGCCCAGCTGTGATTATTAACCTGGTATTCTGTGAACCAGGCTTTGTCATTTCTTTATTTAGTATCCTTACCTGTCTTCATAACCAAGAGTCCTGTGTCCTCAGGAGACAGGAATGGGGGTATTTGGACATTTAGAAAGTGTGACCACTTGAGAACTGACTTAAAGAAGCTGGGCTGCTTGTGCCCAGGAGAGGGGCAGCCTCAGGGAGATGGGAAGCATTTTCCATTATGTAAAATCTAGTGTGGAGGGAAAAGGGGATCCATCTGTTTCCTGTGCCTGGGAATTTAGGTTACTTGTCAGGAAAGGCTCCCTAATGACAGGGCCATGAACTAGGGAGGGGGTGGACTCACTGTGGCAGGAAGCTTTTAAAAATAGTCATTTATTGGTTGTAAGTTGCTCCTGCTGCGAGCTGGAAAGTGCAAGACGAGGCTTTCAGGTCTGTATTTTGTGGAGGTGGAAGACACTGTGCTTGCTGCTTCTTCCCCAGGCTGTGAGGGCTGCACTAGTGTGGGGCTTTTGGTTTCGCACCTGCTACGTGTGGAGCTGTGGCCCAGCTAGTGCTGAGTGTTGCGTGCTTTGCTCAGACTGACTGCAGGATTCCCAGGCCTGTAAAGCAGATCCTGTCCCTCACTATCTGTCTGTGCTCCACAGTGGATGTCAGCAGAAAAAAATCAGCAAGAAAGACGGAGGCCTCCATCCACCAGCAGGCCGAGGATGGCAAGACGGAGCTGTCCCTCATGCACTTTGCCATCACCAACCCCAAGTGGCAGCCACCTCGCGAGAGCACGGCCTTCATCGGCTTCCTCAAGGAGCGGGTGCACCGGGACAGCAGCGTAGCGCTGGCTCAGCAGGCTGTGCTCCCCGAAAATGCCCTCTTCAGCTCCATCCAGTCCCTGCAGTCGGAGTCCGAGGTGCTCAGCTTGGGGGGGATGTGGGGCGTTCTTGGGGTGCTTGCTGGGTGCTGGCAAATTGATAATCGGGCCCTCTGGTCAATTCTGCTCTTGCCTGGGCTGTATCTGGGGGTGCAAATGTGATAGATCAGCACCAGCTGGGACTGATGCTGGGTTTCTAGAGAAGGCAGCAGGCTGTCCTGGGGCCTTGTGAAGTGGGAGAGGGGCTGAGGTTCTGTTGCTGGCAGGGAACAGCCCTCCAGGTCTGCACAGGACAGTGATTTTTTTCCCTTTCAACTCTGCAGCCTCACAGCCTGATTGCCAATGTGATAGCGGGCTCCTCAGCACTGGGCTTCCACATGGGTCGGGATGGACAAGCCTCCCGCCATCTCTCTGAAGTGGCCTCGGCCCTGCGTTCCTTCTCCCCGCTCCAGTCTGCCCAACAGCCTCCCAGCAGCTTCCAGACGGCGGGAAGGGACGGAGAGGGAGCCCAGCCTCGTGGCGCTAGTGCCATGACAGCCTCTGGGTAAGCTGATAGTTGGAGAGGGGCAGCCAGACACCTTGCAGATTCCTTAAACCCTTGTCCAATTGCCATCCTGTTGTTGTAGGTGCACAGTGGCATTTGTCTCTGCAGCCTGGGACAGCAAGGGACACGTTCATAAGCAGAGTTAGGCCCAGGTGCTTAGGGTAGCCCCAAAGGACAGTATTGGGGTTCAGGTGTTCTCCTGTAGGTACCACTGTGGTGAGGAACCCCTGGAAGGGGAGAGGCAGTGCTATAGTGGGGCTGGTCACCTTATGCATCTGGGGAGTGGCTGCTTTTGCTAGGAAAAGAGAGGGTCTTTTCCTAGCCAGCCACGAACAGATCTCTGCAAACCTGACATGAGAGTGGAGAGGGGCTGGGCAGTGGGGGGGGCACCTGGGCAGCAAACGCCACTTGTGTGTCCTATGGCAGTGCTGATGCAAGGACCGTGAGCTCGGGGAGCAGCGCCTGGGAGGGTCAGCTACAGAGCCTGATCCTGTCGGAGTACGCCTCCACCGAGATGAGTCTCCATGCACTCTACATGCATGAGGTGAGCAGCCTGGAGCTGGGCCAGCCAGAGCCTCTCTGGAGTGACTGGGATACCAGCGTGAGTGAGAGCTGAAACCAGTGTGTGTGGAGTGCTGGGGAAAGGGTGTGTTCGGGTGCCTGAGCTCTCCCACTCAGCTGACTCACTCGTGTTCTGGCCTGCAGTTGCACAAGCAGCACGCCCAGCTGGAGCCCGAGCGGCACACTTGGCACCGGCGAGAGAGCGATGAGAGTGGGGAGAGCGCCCATGAGGAGCTGGACGCTCAGCGAGGTGCCTCCGTCCCCATCCCTCGCTCTGCCAGCTACCCCTTCTCCTCTCCACGGCAGCCTGCTGAGGAGACGGCCACGCTGCAGACTGGCTTCCAGCGGCGATACGGTGGCATCACAGGTACGGATGGGAGCCGGGGCAGAGGTCTGAGCTCTGGGTCAAAGCCCCAGATCCAATGCCCTGTGCAGACTGGCACGAGCAGCCTGCCTGCCCCTGAAGACTGACAGTCCCCCAGGGAGCTCATCTTCCTCCTGGCCTCTCCTGCAGACCCGGGCACAGTACACAGAGCCCCATCACACTTCTCCCGCCTCCCTCTGGGAGGCTGGGCTGAGGACGGGCAGTCAGCGAGACACCCAGAGCCTGTGCCAGAGGAGAGCTCAGAGGATGAGCTTCCACCGCAGATCCACAAGGTAGGGATGAAAGCTGTGGCTGAGAGAGGAAATGTGTACTTAGGATGGTCCCGATAGGTGCCACATCCCCTCTCTGTCTTGCAGGTATAGCCTTGTAGACTGGGGATCTCGTGGGGGTTGCAGACTGGGAGCCGCCTGGGCAGCAGGATGTGGCGTCAGCCTGATTCTTCTCCCGTCCTGAGTGGACAGGATAGTCCTGGGCTCCATTTTGTTGCCACCAATTGCCGAAGAAACAGAACTGCCAGGCTGGCGGCTTTGCGGTGGCACTTTGTGTCCAGCCGTGTGTGAAGTCAGCGCCACTCTGACTCTTGTGGAGCGAATGCGTGTGTGAGTACATACGTGTGTCTGTGTTCACATCTGTGTCGTCCGTGTCGGAGGATCGCTGCAGAGCCTGCGAGAGCTGACGTGACAGGACTAGCAGTGGGGAGCTGTGGACTGGCTTGGAGGTGGCAGCAGCAGCTGCTGTTCGAAGGGATGTGAGATGGCAGCAGCTCCAGATGTCCGCCCAGAGCTGGAACCTGCTTCCAAAATGATGGCAGAAGCTGTCGAGGCGGGGCTAGCCACACTTGCCCTGTCTGGAACCCTGAGGAGGTGCCCAGGATGATGTTCACCCTCCTGGAGAGGACCAGTGCTGTACCCTTCAGCCCGGAGCAGGACAGCAGTGGGGCAGTCTCCCACTCCTGCCCCAACGCCCTGCAGCGGGTTGGGCCCCTGCTGCTGCTGGTGTGGCTAGGGCTGGGATCTGGAGCAGCTCTGCCTGGGATCTGGGGATGCTGCAGCTCTTCCCTGACTCTCACAACAGCTGGCATGTCCCCTGCACGCAAGGAAGTGTTGGTGGGATGGAAGTCCTGGGTCCCTGACGTCCCTTCCAGCTGGCAGCCTGCGTGCCATACCTCTGGGCTGGGGCAGCTGTGTCCTCCCCCCTGCATGGCACTCGTGGGATGTGGGCTGCTAGTGGGCCCTCCTGCAGTGCCAAAGAGACCCTGAGGGGGGACAGCTGGCATCTCCCAGGAGTGCCCACAGCCCCCTTGGAGCCCACCCTGAAGGTCTTGTGCTCTGTGTATTGGTTCTCTTCCCCCAGGCATGATAAAGGCCTTTTCCCCCTGCCCAGGCTCTGGTGCATCGAGTCTGTCCTCCTGCTCTGGCCATTTCTGTGGTATCGGGCCTTTTCCCCAGGCAAAGGCCTTGGTGCATCTCGCATCTCACCTGGGGGCTCCCGGTTCATCCTTCCCTCCTGAAACCATCCTTTTGTTTGCAACATGGCTTTGGCTGCAGTGCAGGTGATATACCAAGCAGTGGCTTGTGTCTGGTGGGGGCAAGGAGGGGTGCCCAGGTCAAACCCCAGCCCAGCCCTGGGGTGCTGCTGGGGGATCAGGATCCCGGCTGTGCAGCATAGCCTCAGCCAAGACCTTCCCACCTTCGTTCTGGTTTCCCTCTCTTCTTTTCCAGTGGGATTTTGTGAAGATGTGCATCACAGCTAACCCCTGCCAGGCTTCGCTTTCCCCTCTTTGGCAGGGGGTGCTTGCTTTTGCCATGCCCTCTGCGAGCACTGCAGGCCCTGCTCTGCCCTCCCTGGCGTCCAGGGCCGCCTCTCTTCCCCGGCCAGGGTGCAAACTCAAAAACCTGGTCTGGGCACAGGCTGAGGAGCCGGCTGCTCCCAGCGCTGCAGGGGTGCACACCCCTGGGTAGCCAGGGCACAAAAGCAGGGCTGGGGTGCTCATGCCGGGGCTCTTCGGGGGTGGTGGGTTCCCTGCTGCCATAGGGTGGGACTGACCAGAGCTGCAGCTGCTCTGGGGTCTGTAAGAGGCCAAAGGCAGCGTGATAAAGCAGTGCTGGAGATGGGGTCAGGAGGTCCGCAGACC